GCAGGCGGCTCCATGGGGCCTGCGCCGAGCTGCCACGAGCAGTGCGCGCCATCATCACCCAACGCCACTCGACGGAGGGACGCCGCCACAACTTCTGGCTAGCGCGAGTTCAGAGCTCGAATGCCGCATGCCTATTTTTGTAACACCTGTGGTGCTTACACGGTAAGCCGGGCAGGAAACTTGGCAGGAGCATGTAGTGATATCGACAAGCAGCAGCTTGGCCAGCTTCGCGCAGGGAAGCTCCCCTGGCCCAGGGGCCGGAGGACTTCGCGGCCATGACCATTAAATGGCCGCTCGCACGGCTTTTGACGGCACGTGGCTGGAACCTCTCCAGATCGGATCATCCTGTAGTTCGTGAGACGCTGTGTAGCGGTATCCTTGTTTCATATGTGGGTGGTGGTTATGATGTATGGTTGGGGGAAATATATCTAGGCGCCCGAGGTGCGCAGGATATTATTGTCTTACCATTGTATCCATTCTTTCCTCCTACCTCTTGGCTCAAAATGCTGAACCGACAGTCTGGTGTCAACAATGGGCCGGCTATATTCCCATACCGGTCAGCGCATGGAGCTGGCATTCGGCTTAGTTTGGGGGAGAGGGCGTAGGAGGATGTTGGGGTGAGTGGCTTGGTTAATCCAATCGCCTCGGGTACAATCAGATCCAGGCCACAACGTGTGTCCACAGAATGCGGCTGCTTAGCGTGGCTGGACCACGCCATTCTGCGCACGCAAAGTGACAGCCTATCTGGGCGGAGGTGGGTGGGTTGAGGTGCGGGAAGAGGATGGGGGAGAGTTCCCGTGTGCGCGCCCGCTCACGCCCGTTTGCGCCCGTTGCCGCTGCTGGGCGGCGTTGCCAGGACCACTCAAGGAAGGGAAGATCTCATCTTGTGGGCGGATGTCGACTTCCTCTTCGATCCATTGCGTCCTGTTGCTTTCAGGCCGGAGAGGACCAATTTTCGTCATTTGCCCGTCTTCGATCGTTGACCGGCTTCGGGTAGCAGCACAGAGCGTGCAAACATAAAAGGAGGAGGAGCACGAGGAGGAGGAGGAGCAGGAGGACGAGGCGGAGGGGACGGAGGAGGAGGAGCAGGAGCAGGAAGAGGAGGAGCAGGAGCAGGAGGAGCAGGAGTAGCAGAAGGAGAAGGATGAGGATGAGGATGAGGATGAAGATGAGGATGTTGATGATGATGATGCTGCTGCTGCTGATGATGATGATGAGGAGGAGGAGGATAATGAGCAGGAAGAAGGAAGAAGGAAGAAGACGGGATAATCATCACGGCTGTCACTTCGGGCACGAACGGGTCTTGGGAGCCACATGCGGACCATACCCCTCCCCACGATTTTCCCAGATGGAGGTTGGGGTTTCACTTCGTTCGGGAGCTCCCGAGCGAAGTGAACCCCACCCTCCCCCTCCGAAATGGTGGGGGGTAGGGGTAGGGTTCGCATGTGGCCCCCTAGGGTCACCATCACTTGTGGGGCGGTGCTTGGTGATTGGAGGCTATGGCCTCGTGACCTAGAAGGGAGTGATGGGCAGACATGGCGTGGAGGTGCTTGAAGCACGGGGGAGAGGCAAGATCAGCAGCATCGGATTCGGAGGAGCAGGAGGAGGACCAGAAGCATCTATCATGATCAGGCGGCGCACCACGCGAAACAACGCCGGGCTCGGAACAATCGAATCGCCACCAAGACCCGCGGACCCCCGACGTCGTGACTTTGCATGACGCTACCCCCAGAGGTCCAGACCCACTCCCCTGGACTGGCTCTTCATGCCGAGTCGTTTTTCGACGGCCCCGAGGCCCGGTCAAAGGGCCCCCGGATGCCGAAAATGGGGAACAACCTCCCGTCGTGACTCTAGCCATCGCTCGGACGTCCATTCCCTGTGTTTTTTGTTAGGTTTCGTGCGTTCTTTTTTACCTAACAGCGAGGACTGATAGGTTTCTAGTGGTGTCAAAAGAGAGCATCTGATGACTCAGAAGGGAGGTCTGGGCGGCATCCGGACAGCGAGGGCCGGGCTCAGGGCCGGGCTCGTTTTAAGCAAACAGTCACACACTTCGTGCTCTTTCGACCTCCCAGACTCCATTCCCGGGCCACATTTTGATGCCGGATAGCCAACTGTAGGCACTTCGTGCTCTTCGATTTCCCAGAACTCCATTCCTGGGCCACATTTCGGATGCCCGGAGCCAACTGTAGGCACTTCGTGCTCTTCGACTTCCCAGAACTCCATTCCCGGGCCACATTTTGGATGCCCGGAGCCAACTGTAGGCCACTTCGTGGTCTTCGAGTTCCCAGAACTCCATTCCTGGGCATGATTTTGAATGCCCGGGGCCAACTGTAGGCCACTTCGTGTTCTTCGAGTTCCCAGAATTCCATTCCCGGGCCACATTTTGAATGCTGAGGCAGGCTGATGCTGAGGCTGAGGCAGGCTGAGGCTGAGGCAGGCTGAGGCTGAGGCCGAGGCTGAAGGCAGACTGATGCTGAGGCTGAAGCAGGCTGAGGCTGAGGCTGAGGCATGCTGAGGCTGAGGCTGAGGCAGGCTGATGCTGAGGCAGGCTGAGGCTGAGGCTGAGGCTGATGCAAGCTGAGGCTGAGGCAGGCTGAGGCTGAGGCCGAGGCTGAAGGCAGACTGAGGCTGAGGCTGAAGCAGGCTGAGGCTGAGGCTGAGGCAGGCTGAGGCTGAGGCTGAGGCTGAGGCAGCTGATGCTGAGGCAGGCTGAGGCTGAGGCTGAGGCTGATGCAGGCTGAGGCTGAGGCAGGCTGAGGCTGAGGCCGAGGCCGACGGCAGACTGAGGCCGAGGCTGAAGCAGGCTGAGGCTGAGGCAGAGGCAGGCTGAGGCTGAGGCTGAGGCAGGCTGATGCTGAGGCAGGCTGAGGCTGAGGCCGAGGCTGATGCAGGCTGAGGCTGAGGCAGCCTGAGGCTGACGCCGAGGCTGAAGGCAGACTGAGGCTGAGGCTGAAGCAGGCTGAGGCTGAGGCTGAGGCAGGCTGAGGCTGAGGCTGAGGCAGGCTGATGCTGAGGCAGGCTGAGGCTGAGGCTGAGCCTGATGCAGGCTGAGGCTGAGGCAGGCTGAGGCTGAGGCCGAGGCCGACGGCAGACTGAGGCTGAGGCTGAAGCAGGCTGAGGCTGAGGCAGAGGCAGGCTGAGGCTGAGGCGAGGCAGGCTGATGCTGAGGCAGGCTGAGGCTGAGGCTGAGGCTGATGCTGAGGTAGGCGGAGGCTGAGGCAGAGCTGAAGCAGACTGATGCTGATGGCTGAAGCAGGCTGACTGAGGCTGAGTCTAGGCCAGCTGAGGCTGGCTGAGGCGGCTGGCCGCCAGGCATGCCTGAGTCTGATGACTGAGCGACCGGACGCGAGAGGCTGAGGCTGCTGGCGGCCGAGGTCCTGAGGCCGAGGCCTGAGGCAGACTGGAGGCTGAAGGCTGAAGCAGGCTGAGGCTGAGCTGAGGCATGCTGAGGCCTAAGGCTGAGGCAGGCTGATGCTGAGGCAGCTGAGGCTGAGACTTAAAGCCTGAGGCAGGTCTCAGGCTGAGGCAGAGGCTGGAGGCTGAGCTGAGGCTGAGTCTGACTGAGGCCTGAGTGCTGAAGCAGGCTGAAGGTCTGATGCTGATGCAGGCTGTGCTGATGGTGCTGAGGGCTGATGGCCTGTGAGGCTGATGCTGAGGCTGAGGCAGGCTGAGGCTGAGGCTGAGGCAGGCTGATGCTGAGGCAGGCTGAGGCTGAGGCTGAGGCTGATGCAGGCCACTGCGACTGTCATCGCGAATGCGACTACGACTGCGAGAACAGCAGAATTCTACAACTGGATTCTCATCTGAATCTTAAGGGGAAGGCTTCCAGATATGCTCCTACACATCGCTGTTAGGTTGCTTTGCCGGGATATTTTTTTCGCCAAATGATCAAGAATGCTCCTCGATGGTCCTCGCCGAAGGAAAAACGCACACGTCCGAGCGATGCTAAGGACTTTCTCAGGACTCGAGGCGCTCTGGGTCGCAGGGCCGACCCGACCGCGCCGATCCGGGGCCCGCGGCGGCGGCCGGCGGCCGGCGGCGGCGGCCCGGGCCGGCCGAGCCGCACGGCGCGGGCCCGCGCGGCGTCCGTGGTGGTCGGCGCCGGTGGTCGGGCTCCGCCGCCGCCGCCGTCGTCGTCGCCGCCGCCGCCGCCGCCGCCGTCGTCGCCGGTCGTCGCCGCCGCCGCCGCCGGCGTCGTCGCCGTCGTCTTCGGCGCCCTCCCCTCCCCGCGGCCCCGCCAGGGGCCCGAGGGCCCGAGGCCGCCCGGGCATCCATATGCTCCCCCTCGCTGTCTGGGTTCCGGGGCGCGGCGGCGGCGGTCGGCGGCCGGCAGGGGCCCAGGCCGGCCTGCCACGCGGCCCACTGCTGCGCCAGGCCCCCGAGGTCGGGGCCCAGGCCGCCCAGGACCTGCCGCGGTATCGGAGCGGCGCGGCCGGGCCCCGCGGGCCACTCCTCCTCCTCCTCGGGGAGGAGGAGGGGGAGGAGGAGGAGGAGGAGGGGGAGGAGGAAGGGGAGGAGGAGGAGGAGGAGGAGGAGGAGGAGGAGACATTCCCTGGACATTCCCCTGACGACAAAGTCGAGTCGAGAGTTGCCGCGCCGCCGCTCGCCACCCGCCTCAGGGCGTCTTCGAGGCGGCGGCGACGGCGTCGGCGGCCCGCGGGCGGCCTGGCCCCGCGCCTGGGGGCGCGTCGGGCCTCGCCTGCGGCGCCCGCTGAGTTCGCCCGCAGCAGGGCCCTCCTCCTCCAGCGGGCGAGGCGTGTCTCCCGCGCAGCTGCCCCTGGGCCAGCCGCCCTCCTGTGGGCGCTCCTGGCGGGGTTGGCCTCCTCGCGGGTCTCCTCGCTCCCATTGGTGGCTGGGGCGGCGGTGCGGGCTCCGCCAGGAGCTGCCTCAGCGTCGCCAGCGGCAGCACCTTGGGCTTGGGCGGGCTGCGTTCCCTGGCCGTCATGGCTGGGCTGGACCTTGCTCTTTCCCTGGCGGCCTCCAGCGCCCTCCTGGCTTCCTCACTTCTCCTCTGGCTGTCGTCTGGCTCGACCTGCTTGAGCTTCAGGACTGTCTCCAACGGCTGGCACTGTCTCATCCTTGCTCTCGGCGCAGTCGCCACCTCCAGCAGCCTCGTCGCCCTCACCTCTGCCTCCTGCTCGCTCATTTTGGGCTTGGGCGGCCTCGGCGGGGAGCGTGTGGCGGCAGCTGCAGCCTCCTGGCTTCTGGCAGCTCGCCGCCCCGCTTCACTCCGCCTCTGGTGGGGTCGGCCGTGCCTGCCCAGCGCGTCCGCCTGCTCCAGCGTGCGTCTCCCAGCGCGGGGCTCGCCCCTCCCATTATCCCTCCTGGAGGGGCCTCTGGGCACTCCTGGTCCCAGGGGTGGGAGGGGGTCAGCGTGCGGGGGAGCCTGGTCGCTGTCGAGCACCGCGGCGTGGTCGCCATTCACGATCCCTCCAGCGGCCACCTCTCGGGTTCTCCTCAGGTCATCCTCGATGCTTCTGACCTCTGGCTCGGGCGAGGTCCCCCGACTATGCCTCTCGCTGTGTTCGCGGTTCACGTGGCATCCGCGGGCCAAGCCCTCCCCCTCGCGTTCAGTCTGTCGGTTTCCCAGGGTGTGGGTCCGCTCTGTTAGTTGCGAGGTCCTGTCTCCCACCATGTTGGTCACGAAGTCCGCGTCATGCTCACTGGGCTCGTCAGGGACCTCCGCCTCGAGACCTTCTGTTGACTGCTGCGGCTGCTCCTCTTCGATGTGGTCTTCACGATCTGCGAAGGGGTCCTCGACCGTTTCTAACCATCCAGGTGTAACTCGAATCTCATCCTGCTTGTTCTCTGGCCACATCCTCCACTCCTCTGCGTCTGCGAGCTTAGTCCAGCTCTTCAGCAGGTATCTTCTCGACTCGCAGGTGGGGCGGAGGCGGCAGGGTGCCTGCAGCTTGTCCGAGACCATCTCCGTGGCGGAGCTCGCACAGAGCGTGCAGAACCAGCGCCCCTGGCGGCCCAGCCATCGCAGGGGGTGCGACGGGTGCGAGGTGTGGCCGTTGAACTCGATGCACCTGCCTGCCGCTGGGGGCGGGCCACCGCACTTCTGCTCGAACCACTCCTTGATGCTGGAAAGGGCCGTCGCCGTCGTGACTGACTGGTTGCAGCACTTGCACCTCCACCCTCGTCCTCGTCTGAGCTTCACGAGGTCGTGCGTGGTGGCTGGCCGTCTGCGGGGGTCTCGCGCGAGGTAGTCTGCCTTGACCTTCCTCTGCGCTCTCCTCTGCATGACCGCGTGCCTCCTCGCCATCTTCAGCTCCTTGTTCTCCGTCGGCCTCCGCTCCATGGCGTCCTGGGTGCATGCCGCGATGCGCGCTCTGACCAGGCTCGCCGTCGCCCGCACCCATTCGTAGCAGCCCATCTGGTTCTCTGGGATGGCGTGCTGCTTGGCACCTGCATCTGCCAGTCTGTCTGCCTCTCGGTTGCCTTCCCAAGCCTCTCTCGGGATGTGTTTCTCCGTCGCCTCCGTCTCCGTCAGGTGGCTGTTCAGGTGGCACAAAGTGATGATCTCCCTGCCACCTCCTCTCTCGGCGATGGCCCTCCGCACGCGGCGCCAGAGGTCGCAGTTGGCGGCCCCTTCTGGTCTCTCATCGCGGCGTGCGTGCCAGCAGACGAGGGTGATCTCGCTGTCCGTCCAGAAGGTCAGGTTTCCGCACGTCGACTCCAGGCAATTGATGAGCGACCACAGCTCCGCCCTGTTGTTGGACTGGCGTGAGCCTGGCAGGGGTCCGAACTTCGCGGCCCAGGTCTGGAAATCTCTGGTGCGCCCTCTGGTGTCCAGCATCACGCAACTCCATCCGCATCTCCTGTACCTCACGTCGCTGCTGTACTCGCCTCCTGAGCCGTCCCCACAGATGGTGAGCTGCCCTCCCTCTGGGGCTCGCAGTCTGCCCCCCTGTAGGCACTGCCCCAGCGGCGTCTCCTGCTCCTCCGTGAGGAGGAGGAGGAGGAGGACCTGTCGATCGGAGCGCGCGGGTGGGCCTCCTAACCCCCCTCCTCGCTCCTCCTCCTCCTCCTCCTCCTCCTCCTCTCCTCCTCCTCCTCCTCCTCCTCCTCCTCCTCCTCGTCCTCCTCCTCCTCCTCCTCCTCCTCCTCCTCCTCCTCCTCCTCCTCCAACTCTCAGTCGATCGGGCCCTGGGACCGTAAAGAGCGGATCCGGGACGGAAAGCCTGCCCCCGGGGAAGCGGTCTGGCTCTCTACAGGGCCTCGGGCAGGCTCCGCACCCCGGTGCTTCCCAGATGATCCTCAGAACGGGTGTTGGCGCCCACGTGCGCTTGCCCATCGAGGCCCTTCGACACAGTGGGGTTTGATTGGCGACGGCGCGCGAGAGGGCACGAGGCCCATTCTGAGGGCCACGCTGCCCCAGGATTGCAGAAGGCATGGCGCGAAGCTGATCTGCCAGGGTCGACCTACGCAGGCGGTGTGATGATGGATCGGTGGAGCTGCATGGGGTAAACGCACACTGGGCCAACACACGTCCTGAGGATCATCGAATCGTCTCAAAGTTCGAAATTATCCCACCTCCTGCCGTCGTGGGACACACGGACGGACGGACTTTTGCCTTTTTCAGCTTCTTGGGTCCCTCACTGGGCCCCAGGGCCGCCAGAAAACGACTCGGGCTGAAACACCAGCCCCGGGGATGGGGTAAGGACCTCCGGGGGTCCACGTTCCCCCAAAAACGTCCGCCTTCAGTTTGGATGCGTTCCAGCAGCTGCGACTTGCCGAGAGCGTTCCGGGCAGAACGGCCGAATGGCCGCCGGAGACCCGAGCTATGAACCGAAACCGAAAGCCAACCCAGGCACAGATATCCCTCCTCCCTTCTTTCCATCCTCCCTCAATTCCCCACCCCCCTCCCTCCCCTTTGCCTCTCCCCCACTCCCATCAATACGCCATTCCATTAAGCATTAAGCCGTCATTGGCACTGGAAGGGGCCGAGGCCTTGCTTGCCACCCCTCGGCCAACGAAGACGGCCGTAGGCAGGGGTGCCAGCGTGCCTCTACAACTCTGACCTCAGTACCTGAAGGCGCCAGTTGCCACCGCCCAGTGTTTTCCTCACCCCTTCCTCCCTCCCTCTCCCCCTTCCCACAACCACCGTTGTCCGCCGCGGGGCGGGCGGGCGCGACACTCCCCGCTGGTGCCTTCTCCGCTCTCTCTCTCTCTCTCTCCCGTCTCCCTCCTCTGTCCGCCCCAGACGCACGACCCGGGGATCAGACCTCGCGCCAGGCGGCACAAAGTCTGGGCGCCGGCCTGCGACGCGTGGCATGCGCAAGGCATGGCCGAATCCACCAGGTGGCGGGCACTGTGGGCACCGCAACACAGGCACGGGTGAACGTTCGGGCCAGGGCGAGACGCAACCTGGTGAGTCGCGTGATCGAGCCTGCTCCTCTTGCAAACAACGGACGTGTGTTTGAACCTCCGCCTCCGCCTCCGCCTCCGCCTCCGCCTCCGCCTCCGCCTCCGCCTCCGCCTCCTCCTCCTCCTCCTCCTCCTCCTCCTCCTCCTCGTCCTCCTCGTCCTCCTCGTCCTCCTCGTCCTCCGCCTTCTCCTCCTCCTCCTCCTCCTCCTCCTCCTCCTCCTCCTCCGCTCCTTCTTACGGCATGGGGTCTCCAACGACTGGCGGGCCCGGTTGGCCGCCGTCCCGCACCCCAGGAAGAGCACCGAACCAAGACAACGCACGGGATGGGACACGTGTGCTGAGCGTCAGCGGCGGCTCTTACAAAGCTGTCTCGCGGATGAGGGTGGTGATCAGGAGGAGCAGGAGGAGCAGGAGGAGCAGGAGGAGGGGGAGGGGGAGGAGGAGGAGGAGCAGGAGGAGGAGGAGGAGCAGGAGGAGGAGGATAAGGAGGAGGAGGAGCAGGAGGAGCAGGAGGAGGAGGCGGAGGGCGGGGAATGCAAGGAAGGCATGTGCACGATCGGCAGGCGCGAGGGGGCCGCACACGACCTCGAGCCTCTCCGCCAAAACTTCGCACTACCACATCACATCACTGGCACGTGTACATGGTGACGCAGGACTGCCCGTCCGAAGATAGCATCAACTTCTAGTACGAACTCATCGCGGACATCGCGAAGGCCCCTACGAACGACAATATTAACGTGGGCCTACTGAAGGACAACGTGCAGTCCAAGATGTTCCAGGCGAAATGCAATTACGAGACCAAGTACCTGGACCAGATCGTCGTGTACAACAATTGCGCCCAGGGCGATCGCGTGGCTACGACAGCCAACCTCCACTGTAGTCACTACAGTCCCTTCCTCACCAACGAAGCGCGCTACATCCGCTTGCGTGATGAACAAGGCGAAGGGCTACGACGTGGACTGCAGCCCCGTGTGCCTCATGGACACCATTTTCGAGAGCCACTACGTCGCGGAGGACAAGGAACTGAACCCGAAGAAGATCGGTGGGAAGGCCGTCAATGACGCTAACGCGGGGTACTACGACGGAATTTCTGAGAAGTTCCCTCCTCCTCCTCCTCCTCCGCCTCCTCCTCCTCCTCCTTGTCAAAGACGACGAGAGCTCTTTCCGCAGGACGAGCGCTGCAAGCCGTCCGGAGCGAGTCCGCCGTGTGCCACGGCAAGGGAAGCTCGCTCTAGAACTACACACCCCGATCTGCGACCTGTGCAAAAAACACACGTGCATCCCTCCTCCTCCTCCTCCCGCCTCCTCCCGCCTCCTCCCGCCTCCTCCCTCCTCCTCCCTCCTCCTCCCGCCTCCTCCCGCCTCCTCCCGCCTCCTCCCGCCTCCTCCCTCCTCCTCCCTCCTCCTCCCGCCTCCTCCCGCCTCCTCCTGCCTCCTTCCGCCTCCTCCTCCTCCTCCCCTTCCCTCTTCCTCCTCCTCCTCCTCCTCCTCCTCCTCCTCCTCCTCCTCCTCCCCGTTCCCTCATCACTCCATCAGAAAAAGAGCTGGTCGTCATCGTCGAAGACGGTGTACGGAAACGCTGATGCGGCAGGAGTCTGTACTTCTGGCCGCCCACCTCTCCGCCCACATACAACGCCGTCGCCACATCGAATTCACGATGCCAGGACCAAGCAACACGTCGAAACCCATCAGTCGAGCTCAGATGGTACTATCATGCAAATGTTGGCCCAAGTATTGGCTACATAAATTCTTACTATATACAACATGTGCGTTACGAACTGCCAGCGCATCGGGGACGACGCAACATGCGAAGATCTACTGCTAGCGGATGCAGGGAACTGGTCACGTGACCTACCCTACCAACACGCATACCTGCAATTCGTTATGATTGGTAGCACCAGGCAATGGTGACATGTACTACTTCAACGTCACCGACATTAAGGCAGCGCTACGTCATCATTTCAAAGACCTCTACGACAAACGTATTGACGTATACCAAGCCAAAGTCATCGAGGGTACATGTGACGATGCAAGTGGTAATTGTCACCAAAGACCACCCAGCTGACAAGACCCTCCGCAAACACGACTCGATCGATGTTGGCACGACTCCAAGAACTACGTGCGAATTGAAACCTACCCATACGATGCCGGAATACGTGTCCAGTACTACGTGCCGTGGGATTCAGAGTAGGCGTACTACGCCACTCTGGACATCGGTGCTGGCGTACTTACCATTGGCATCCTCAGGACAACTACCGTGGCGAAACTCTGCGGCCAGCAATGCGACATGTCTCCGGAGGAGTACGAGCACTGCGACCTGACAATTAAACATGAACTACATCACCATCCTACCCTCACAGGTGGTACTACACACCTCGTAGACTTGATCGACCGATACGAAAACCCGATCTCACAGGAGTCTTACAAGTCCGACGGCATATCCTCCCCGACGGGGTATACCACAACGAGCGCCGCTCACAGAGGATCCTACACGAGCAGTCGAAGCGTGCGCGCGGGCGCTCCCGGGAGGAAGACGACTGGGCCTCAAAACATCTGCACCTCAACGCGGAGTGCTCCTCAGAATCGCACGTCGCTGCGCCGATGCCGCTGCCGTGTGCAGCATGATCGTAAGCCTGCGGCGATACGACGCCTGCAGCGTGACAGACGAGGCGTGCCCCGTGCACAGCGTGAACTGCAGGGTGCGGCGTCTCGGGTGTGCACGCCCGCGCTGGCTGAGCGGCCCCCCCGCCGCTCTGCCAACACCTTCCCCCTCCTCCGCGAGGGGCCTCGGGCCCAGGCGGCAACCAGTGAGAAGGGGCGGCCTTCCCCCTGCTTCCTCCCCCTCTCCAGAAAGGGGCGGCCTCTGCGTGATCGTCGCGCCCCGCGGCGCGAGGCGGGGGCGGGGGCGTGTGGGAGGCGCGTTCAGCGGTGGCGAGAGAGGGGGGGGCAGGGCGGAGTTGGGGGAACAGGAACGGGAGGAGGACGGCGTCCTCGTCGCCCACCTCCTCCTATCCTCCCATGCTCCTCCTCCTCCTGCTTCCCCTCCTCCTCCTCCTCCTCCTCCTCCTCCTCCTCCTCCTCCTCCTCCTCCTCCTCCTCCTCCTCCTCCTCTATCCGCCTATCCTCCTATCCTCCCATCCTTCTCCTGCTGCTGCTCCTCCTCCTCCTCCTCCTGCTGTGGCGACCTGCACCTCAGAGGCCACGGGGCCTCTGTCGCCCGCCTTGGCCTTGAAGTGCACCTGGGCGCCCGTGGGCACCACGCCGTTGGGGAACTCGCTCCTCATCACGAAGACGTCCTGCTCCCCCGCATCCCCAACTCCTCTTCACATAGAACACTCGAGGACAACAAAGGAACACGTACTGGCATTTAGGCATTCACAACGGAGTCATACAGATCAAACTTGCGGGGAATCTCGGGTGCCGAATCAAAACGACAGAAAACCGACGGAGCACCATAGAACGCCGAGAAAATCATAAGCACCAGGGAAAAGCCATAGACGACCTAAGGGCAACCATCCAAGACCACCGACGCAACACCTCTCCCTCAACATTGAGGTCCTGCCGCCAAATTGAATCGAACGGAAGCTGAAACAAACAAACTGCCAAGGCTGAGAGGCCTCCTCCTCCTCCTCTTCCCGTGACTGCCTGGCTCGTCGTCCTTGTCTTTCCTCCTGCTCCTGTCTGCTGCTCTGTTGCTGCTGCCCCTCCTCCGTCCTTCTTTTCCGCCCTCCTTCCGTCAAGCCTTCCTCCTCATTTCTTCCTCCCCCCCCTCCACCTCCTCCACCTCCTCCCCCCTCCTTCTCCTTCTTCCTCCTCTTCCCTCCTCCCACTCCTCCTCTTCCTCCTTCATCCTCGTCTTTCCTCATCCTCCTCCATCCCTTTTTCTCACAACTTCCTCCTCCACCTCCAGACGTGTCGGTAGGCCGGGCTCGGCGTTTCTCCTGAAACCCCTTCGCGACTTATGATCTTGAATATTGGAACTTGCAAAAGCTTCAAGCATGGAGCGCGGGTGGTTTTCAACATGCTGCTCTAGCCTTCGCGCCGCGCACATCCAGGTTTAAAGTTTGTACCAGCTTCATGGATGGAGGCCTGGTTCTTTTTCAGCACGTGGCTCTAGCCTCCGCGCCGCGCACATTCGTTTTAAACGATTGCAGCAGTTTCAAGGAATCCTCGGGTGGAAGCCCCAGGAACGGCGTCCTGGGGCGACTCAGGTTTGTGCGGGCGCAGCAGTGACGCTGATTCGCGGTGTTGAAATCGCAGGACTGGTGTTCCAGCACGGTTAGGGATTGTCAGGACGTCGTTGAAGTCCCAAGAACGGTGTTTTGGCAGCATTGAGGATTCTCATACGGATCCCTTTAAATGGGGCGCTCCCTTCATTGTAACTCGGAGGTTAGGGGTGAGATCGCAGTGGGACAGAGAGCCTCCCACCGGGAAATCGGTTTCGGGCCCGTGCGGGCAAGGCAAGGCCAAGCGGGCCGTGTGTGCGGGCGAGACGAAGCGGGCCGTGCGTGCGTGCGCTGTTCCCCTCCGAAGGCTGCTCTCTCCCCTTACCCCCCCCCCCCTCCTCTGCACCTTCACCCCCCCCGAGCCCTTCACCCTCCTCCCAACTCCCCCTCTCTCCCCCCCCCGTATCCCACCCAGGACGTCTTGGGCATGAGCGTGCGCATCGCGCGTGCGCACGCCGTGCGTGCGGGCGGGGCGAAGCTGCGTGGGCGAGCGAGAGGAATAACCCCGCCGTCGCTGTCTGCGCGGGCCGCCCCCTCTGCCCCCCGGCGGGCGCGCGGGTAGCCCGGGGCGTCCCACCGAGGCGTCCTGTTGGTGTCCTGCTGGTGTCCCGTTGGTGTCCCGTCGGTGTTCCGTCGGCGGTGGCCAGGTCGACAGTGGGACCGACAGTGCGATCGATGGAAGGGTCGATAGTGAGATCGATCGTGAGATCGAACGCGAGATCAATGGTGAGATCTACAGTGAAATCGATCGTGAGATCGCGTATTATCGATCGACTGTGACCGATCCTGTGAAGTCGATGATGGGGTCGATGATGGTGAGTTCCACCTCACCAGCGACTGTCAGATCGGTTCAGTGGGTTGTCTTGGTTCTCGTTCTAACCACCACTCATCGATCGCATTGCAATCGCCGCGGCCCGTGCGATCAGCATCGCGGCCACAGCGGCCGTTGCTACCACAGCTGTGTGGCTGGAGCAAGCCAAACGCACGATCCTTCCGCCTCTTCGCCATTTCTGCGGGTGGCGCGCGCCTCTTCGCCAGTGCCCTCTCGCCGCCAGGCTGTGCCAGCGGTCTGCCGCCAGGCTCTGCCACCAGTGCCGAATGTGGGGGGTCGCGCAGGTTGGCGCAGCGTGTCCAAAATTCCGCTGGCTCCAGAGCGGGGTTCGTGGAGCTCGCCCCAAGCTGCGTCATGTCGGGCCAGCAGTTGTTCGATGCCCCGGGCAAGGTGCCAAGAGTGACGCGGCTGGTGTCCTCCAGCGCCCTTCAGTGTGAGATCGCTAGTGTGATCGATCGCTGTATCCATTGGTACCAAGACTGGCCGTGAGGTCGATAGTGGGATCGATCGAGTGAGATCGAACGCGTGGACGATTGTGACATTACATCGTAGCGCAACGTCGTCATCACGCGTCGTCGTTAACTCGAGGGCTCGTCACCAACATCGTCATCATCACACCCGTAGCATTTGCCAGCAGTTGGTTCTTCCCCCCAACCTCCTTATCACCCGAAGTGTTGCCGTATGTGTCGATTATTGTAGGGACTTCTGAAGATGGAGCTTGGAGGGAGAGAGGGTGTATTGCAACATCGTTGATGCGTCTTGGGTTTCCAGTGGTCCTCTCCTCCTCCTCCTCCTCCTCCTCCTCCTCCTCGTCCTCCTCCTCCTCACTCTCCTCCTCCTCCACCTCCCACTCTCCCTCCTCTCATTTTTCCTCACCATCCCGTTCCTCCTCGTCCTCCTTCTCCTTTTCCTCCTCCTCCTCCTCCTCCTCTTCATTCTTCTCCTCTCATGGCCCCCCTGCCGCTGGTCCTTGCCGAACACCTTCTCGACTGCGGGCCCCGAGATGAACCCGAAGCCCTTGAGGGCATTATAGGACTTGACCTCCCCGAAGAAATGCTGGGCTCCGTCTGGTCCAGTTGACAACACCGTTATGTCCGTGGCCTGCCACCGTGTCGAGGGGAGGAAAAGAGTAAGACGAAACCAAGATCGGGACAACATCGAATCGGGATCGATTTGGGGACCTCTGAGGTCTGCTAGTTCGAAGCGTTCCAGCCAGAACGCGCTGGAGAGCCTGATTCCGATTACAGGCCTGCCTGAACCGGCATGAGGACTTGACTTCTCCGAAGAAGTGCAAAGCTCCGCCTGGCCCGGTTGAGAGCGCCGCTACGTCTGTGGCCTTCACGTCCAACCCTTACAACCTCTACGAGGGCCAGTTTGGTGCAAGCACTGCTCATGGAATTCCAGGGGGCCCGTACCGAAATGGGTCCAGAACTTCCGCCACACTCTTCCCACTTCAGCGAGGACCCCTTCAGTGCAAGCACTGCTTGGGGAGCACCGTGGTCGATCCAGGTTCCCCCAGTTGCGATGTGCCTGGCCTTGGGTTTCTGACTCCACCCAAAGAGCCAAGCTTGTACACCTCTTGTGGGGCCCCTTGCGCCATCATTTGCACCTTCTGTGCGCTCGCGGCCAGCAAGAGCAAACTGATCGGCCCATCGCCAATTACACGCATGATCGGTGCCGCGCCGGCCGTCTGGCCGGCGCGCTGGCTGGCGGCGGAGCTTCTCCGAGTCGCCCGTCCCGGTCAGTGGGCGTGGCGCGGTGAGAGTGGCCAAAGAGCGCCGCGCTGGCCGACGGAGGAGGAGGACGAGGAGGAGGAGGAGGAGGAGGAGGAGGAGGGAGGAGGAGGAGGAGGAGGAGGGAGGAGGAGGAGGATGTGGGAAATCATGCGTGTCATTGGGCCCTGCGCCGGGCCCGTCGGGGGGGGGGGGAGGGCCGCGCGCGAGGGCGGGGCCCCGCCGCGGGGGGCGGCACGGTCGCGCCGCGCTCCTCGTCGTCGTCGCCTCGACTTGGACGACGACGACGACGACGACGACTTTGACGGTTTCGGCGACGACGACTTCGATGATTTCGACGACGACGACGGCGACGACTTCGCAGGTTTGGAAAATGCCGCTTCAAAGCTCGAGCCGCTGGCGCCTGGAGCTGGTGACATGGTCGGCGTGTCGCGCCGAATTGCGGTGGGCCAGAAGCGGCGACGACGCAGATGAGCAGCAGCAGCAGCAGCAGCAGCAGCAGCAGGCGGAGGAGGGCGAGGACGAGGGCGTGGAGGACGAGGACGCGAAGGACGAGGAGGCCGGAGAGGCCTGCACGCCCTTCTGGCTCTGCTGCGCGGTGAAGGATATCCTGTCCTGGGGGTGCGCCGGCCGCCCCGCGCACTCGCTCCCGCCTCCGCTGGCGAAGCGGCACCACGGTCGCAACGCGGGTGCCCGGACCTCCGATCATCCGTTTGTTCCATTGCAGGCGTTGTTTAATTATGTGTGTGTGTGCTCTTAATGGTTGTTGTTTGTTTGTTATTGTTTTTTTTGCTTTTTGTTTCTTTATCCGCTCAGGCCTCCGAAGGGCCTTTCGTCGGGCATGGGTCCGTCGAGGACGAGATAGAACCCCAGGGAAAGGGGTGGGGCTGGGGCCGCGCGCGGAAAGCAGCACCTGGTCGGATGTCTGGGTATGTACGGGGCGCGTCCGCACGAATTGCACCCAAGATTGCGGATCGAGCGTTGCCAGTCAGAGGGCTCCATAATCACTCTCTCTCTCTCACACACACACACTTACACGCACACACACGCACACCGATCCTCTCCCTCACTCACTCCCTGAGGCTCCGAGGTCGCTCCAGACCCCCACCCCAGAGAAGCACCGAGCAGTGTCAAGAGACAACAGCAAGGCTGGCCCAACACCCCAAGACAGCTCAAAGGCTCCTCCTCCTCCTTCTCCTCCCCCTCCTCCTCCGCCTCCTCCTCCGCCTCCTCCTCCTCCTCCTTCTCCTCCCCCTCCCCCCTCATCATCTCCCCCTCTTTCGGCGGCGACCGAGGGGGGAAGTGAGAAAGAGAAGGCCTTCTCAGAAGGTGGCGGGACTTCTCAGAAGTCCTCGCGCCTTCTGAGAAACTTTCTGTCTCTTCGGGGAAAGCTTCGAAAACCTCTCCGGAGGCAGGGGGACTTCCGAGCCTTCTGAGAAGGCCCGCCCCTTCTCACTTCGCCCCCCGGGCTCGCCGCCGACTCTTCCACAGGAGCTCGGCGAGGTCAGAGCTGAGCTGCAACGAGCTCATGACCCTGCTTCCTCGTCGATACATTCGAAACGCTGTTATAAGAAACCTTAGATAAGGAACGAGGCCCCTTCTTTCCATAAGTAAGACTTCGACTTCCCTGAGAAAACCCAAGGACAACATAAGACAAACTGAACAACCATGAAGGAACACTGAGCCCCTCCCCAACGAAAAAAGTTCCTTCTGCAGCGGCCCGACTGCATACCGGCTGCGGCACTGCGGCCGCCGCGTCTTCTGGGCCAGACACGGGTTTTTGAGCGCCGCTGCGACGCCCTGTCGACCTGGTGCTGGACACTGGTAGCAAGGGATCAAATGTTGGGCCTACCCCTGAGATACTTGTGTAGTCCAAAACCCGGATGGCGTAGCACCAGAATTCGAAGGCCGTCCAATTAAAGGCCTGTCGAGGGACCTCTGGAAGCTCCTCGAAGGAGCTTCCGAAGGAGCTTGTGGAGAGCTTCCCGGCATACGTACGTATTAGGAAACGCCTGGTAAAAGGCCTGACGGGACACGCTACAAATTCAGGCAGGGCGCGCCGGGGATTTTTCACGAAGCCGGAACGAGCTCCTGGGCTACCATGCGGTGCCGGCTTCTACAACCCTGCAGCTCTCCAAGGAGCTATCCGGGAAATCCGCCGATCCAGCGTGTGAGTATAAGAAAGCTACAACCTGAGCTTCAGCTCAGCTGGGGGGGGGCCGGGGTGGCTCTGCCGGGGTAGGGGGGGGAAGCGGGGGGGGGTTCATCGGGTCCACGCTTTCTTTCCCCACCCCCCCCCCGGAATCCAAAAACCCGCCCCAAGACGGTCCAAAGGGCCAGGAGGCCGCGTGTGAGCTTAATAAAGCTTAACAGCTCAGCTGAGGGGGGCTGGGTGGAGGAGGGGGGGGCTTCATCGCCTCCACTCCTTTCTTTCCCTCACCTGCCCCCCCGGGAATCCCAAACCGCCCCAAGACGAGCCAAAAGGGGCCCAGGAGGCCACCAAGACGGTCCAGGAGGCGCCCGAAACGGCCCAAGAGCGCTCCTGGACGCCCAAGATGGCCTGAAGACGGCCCAAGAGGCCTCCAAGACGCCTAAAGGAGATCCCAAGAGGACCCCCAAGAGGGCCTCAAGAAGGGTACAATAATAAAGTTGCTGATAGGATTTGAAGCATTTTAGCATTATCGCCTTTTCCGTCTTAGAAGCGCCGAAGACGGTCCAAGAGGCCCCCAAGATCGCCCCAAGACAGCCCAAGAGGCCCCCAAGAGGAGCCAAGACGGTCCAAGAGGGCCCCAATATAGCCCTGGAGGCCCCCCAAGACGACCCCGAGAGGCCCCCAAGATGGCCTCAACAGGGTGAACCCGAACGGACCCTTCCAGTCCTCCACACCAAGATGACCCCAAGAGCCCCCAAGATGCCCCCGAGGCGCTCCCAAGGGGCCTCCAGAGGCCCCTAAGAGGTCCCCAAGAGGCCCCCAAGAGGACCCCGAGAGGCCCCCAAGAGGCCCCAAAGGCCCCCAAGAAGCCCCAAGAACCAAGAGGCCCCAAGAGGCGCTCACTCGCGTGCTGCCAGGCCAGAGGTGCACGGCCTGACTTGGTATTGCTCGGAAGCGAAAGCGATGAACGAAGAACCTTCCACCCGTCGCCGTCACCAGTCGTTGGTCGTCGGCCGTCGGCAGCCGTTCGCCGTCAGTCGTCGTCGTCGTCGTCGTCGTCGTCGTCGTCGTCGTCGTCGTCGTCGTCATAAACTCCTTCGTCGGTCGTCGTCGTAATTATCCCGCTCGTCGACCGTTGGTCGCCCGTTGTCGTCGTCACCGTCCATTTCAACAATAATAGCAGCAGGAGCGCCCAGGATCGGCGGCACTGGCCGGAGGCCACTACAATATCCGATGGGGAGGGCATCCGTTCCCGACAGAGGTGCGTCCGAATGGTCTCCTGGGGGTGTATCCTTCTCGAACGTCCCGAGCGGGTGGCGGAATGTAGGCATGGACGGGCAGAACCGAGCAGGCTCTCCAACTCCTGCCCTTTTCCTCCTCCTCCTCCTCCTCCTCCTCCTCCTCGCCCTCCTCCTCCTCCTCCTC